TGCAGTTTTGATAGCCTTCCCAATAAAAATGGTCAGTAGTGTAGACTAACAAAAAACCAAAACAAAATAGCGTTTTCAGAAGTCATGAATCGAGAAGAAGGTGAAAGTTTTTAAAGGAAATACTATTTACAGCCATAACATCGTTTGAGGTCAAGAAGGAAAACATCTGTTTTTAGGTCAACCAGATTTTGATGGAAAACAGATTATGTTTGATTTTTCAAATTCGCTCGATGTTGGGAATAGATGCCCAACATCGCAAAAAATTGATTAATCGTTCAAAATTTACGACGCATTAAGGGAGTTCTGACAAAGAAGCAGTACAAGTACGTTGACAAATTTTGTGACATCTTGCAAATGGTTTTTTTGACAAATAAAGAAAGAGTCGAAAGGTGTCACCAGCTAATAATGCCGACGAATCGTCGATGCAGCGGTGTTCCACAACTGAAAGGCTTTCCCACCTTATACTACATTCAAGTATATGTATACCTATAGTATAATAATATCGATCATTCCAATTAGTTGGCTCAGTCACAGCTAAGGCTTTAAAAGAAATTTCAGCTATGGACTTGCACTCAATCATGTTCTTTCTCAAGCATATAAATCTCCAGCCATCTCAAGCTAACTGAAGTACAATATTCTCGGGAGAGACACAGTATTATATTTAAGTCTAGTTCTAATTCAAGGACATATATCAACATCTTGACGTATAAATCAAGGTGTAATTGAAAATTGTAAAGTACTCTACAGACGTCTTCTCTAGGCGTACGTCTCCCATGGGTGCATACAACACCAACAACGATTTTAAAATAAGGCGGTCAACTTTTTCAAAAGCCAATGCGGGACAATTTAAGGTGGTGTTATTTCCGATGTGTCATATGTACAGTTACATATGTATGTAAATGTATGTATGTATGTATTAAACACTTAAAATAATTATTCAATTTGTTTATGTGTCTTTATTTTTAAAATCATATTTTTCACACGAGTGAAACTTTTTGACCAGTACTGGATTTTTTTTACCCTGTACCCGTAAGGTAAAAAGTATATATTAGGTTTGCGCAAAGGAAGCATCTCCGACCCCATATGGTGTATATATTCTTAATCAGCACGACGAGAGAAATCGATCAAAGTATGTCCGTCCGTCTGAAAACGGTTGAGCGCACATTAACCAAATAAGCAACATAAATCATATTTGCGAAGATAATTTATATATACATAATTTTTTTTTTTTTTTTCAAATTTTATGAAAATCGGTCAATTCTAAGTTACCGAAACAATTTTACTCCAGTACTACAAGTTTTCATCTGCTAGGGACGCATAAGCTCATTGCCGGAAGTTAGTCGGGGGGGAAAATTAAAAAAAAAAACATAAACTCGTCCTTACTCGGACCTAGGAGAATCTGGATGCCAACTTTGGTTATTCTAGCTTTTATAGTTTCTGAGATCCTCGCGTTCATCCAAACGGACGGACATGTCTAGATCGATTTCTCTCGTCATGCTCATCAAGAATATATATACTTTATGGGGTCGGAGATGCTTCCTTCTGTATGTTTCATACTTTGCACAAACCTAATATACCCTTTTTACCCTACGGGTACAGGGTATAAAAACAGAGAAGGCACTGGATGATAGATAGGCAATTTTGCATTGGTATTCCTTTTTCTCTTAGATTATTAAGCACCTCAATTCACCGCTGTTTTGTCAAACAGGAGAGCAGGAGCAGGAGATGCAGTAGACAAGAACAATGGTTTTCTATCTCTTACTCTATTATATTATGTATTTTAAATGTCATGTTGGTAATGCGGGACATGTGGGACGCGTTTCAGGTTTTTCGGGACTATTTTATTCGATTTTTCAATGCGGGACAACACATGTCAATGCGGGACGGTTGGCCGCCTTATTTTAAAACAGTATAACTGTTAGTTTAGTTTGTTTCTTTCTGAAATAGCGAACATATTAGAATTTAGACGATGCTTCACTAACAAATCAATTGAAAGGCGATAAAAAAAAGTATATTAAAATGTATTGGAACTTGTTATTGCATTTCAAGGAAACTCAAAGTGTTGCTAGTTGTTATCGGACTCGCAACCAATTAAGGCATTCCCAATCAGATTTTATTTTCTGTAAACCGATTGCCAGCTAAAAAAATCCCAGCCGAACAACAATTAAGAAGTCTTATTGGAGCCATTTGCCACATTATTATGAACTCTTGCCACGGACTTTGGCGCACGTCATGTGTAGATGGTGGTAAAGGGAATAGTGGGTGGGGAGGGGAGGGGTGGGGGTACATATGCATTTTGCATGTTGGGGTACATACATACGACGACGATGCAGACTTGGTTGTTGGGATCGATGCGAGCCACGCCTACCGCGTGACCGCTGTTGCCCATTGAATTGCCCAACACTTTGTTTTTCAATGCTACTTTCTCATAACTTGGTTGCATTGGAATGTGGCAAATGTCGATGGGATGGAGGTACTTTTTTATTCCAAAAACGAAAGAGCGAGCGAAATGAAAAGAAGCAAAACATCTTTGCACCTTTGTATGTATGTACATATCTATCAATGTATAAGTGTGCATGTAATTACCGTGCATTTTGTTCCCCGATGTGCTTGCATTACTATTGTGTTTGTTGTTGTTGCTACTTTGTATGGACTATTGATGCAGTTGTTTGTTGTTATTGCTGTTTGTTGTTGTTGGCTGCTGCAGCTAAACAGAAACATACAAACACACACGCATTCGCTTGCTCACGAACTGGGCGCTCACGCACTTTATAGACAGTAAAAACGCATGCCGGTTTAAATGTATGATAGCCCACGCTCTCTTTCTCTCTCTCTCAGAGACGCACACACGCACGCACTCATACCAGCAGTTAAGCCGTGGGTGGGTGGGGGGTAGGCAGGCGCATATGGATGTGTGTATGTGAATTTCGCGAGGCACGCGTTAAATAAAAAGAAAAAAAAGAGCACAAACACACTTTTCCACTCAATACTCTCTCAAGCTATTGCGGTCTCTCTCTCTCTCTCTCGCTCATTTGCTTTGCCGTTTTTTTCGCGTTTGTCTTTTGCTTTTTTCGTTTTTCCTTTTCTTTTTTTTTTGCAAGCGCTGCGAGGTTAAGTTTGGTCTTTCGCTGCAATTTGTTCACTTATTGTTGTTGTTATTATTATTGATAGGCTAGTAACAAATTGTTGTTGTAGTTTTGCGCACACAACTGCACAATAATCGAGGAATACCAATTGCCATTGTCGGCAACAACAAAAATGAGTTGAAAAAAAAACACTGCCAACCGCACACGCACGCAATGCTCCTTGCACTTTTTGTTGCTTTTGTTGTAGTTTTGTTGTACTGTGTTGGCGATCGTAGAGCTGAACGCACTTTTTTAAATAAACATTTTCGCGTTACCCTATTGATAATAAATCGTGTTCAACACACATACACACACATTGTAGCACACACACTGAAACAAAAACCGCCGATGGATTTGCAATACTTCTTGGCTTTTGTTTTTTTTTGCTATTGCTATTGCTAATGATGAGCGATTACCAAACGCATAGTGGTGTATGTGTGCGGGCGCCATCTGGCGTTTGTTTTTCGTCAACCGGCACACATCGATGGCCAATTACAGCTGTATTCGCAACATCGATACAAAGTTCATTCGCAACAAGTACTCGTTATAACAGCAAGTAGTAGGTACTAGTTAATGGTTGATTCACAATAGCGACATTTTAAACGACTGTAATATTCGAACAGTTTAATTGCATTGCTACATTGTTATTATGACAATTTGATAATTTTGCACAAAATGTATAGCACCAATGCATTTTGTATTTAAAATTTTTTTTACGTCGAATAATAGCGAACTTTGTAAAAGAGAAGCTTAATGAAAAAGTTAATAAAGACATCAGTTTATCAATGGTTTGACTATATTTTATGAATATTTCATCCCGCTACATGCACAGTTTTGCTTTCGTTTTTACATTTGTACATTTTTGTAAAACATTGATTGAATGTGTATATGTTAACTTTGGAATGCTGCCCAAAACACTGCAAAAATATGGGCTTTTTTAGTGTCTCATATGGAATCTATGAGTATAGCGCGCAAAAATATTTAAACTAATTCAGACAACTTTGTAGCACTACAACGACTTTGCGATTGGCCACACTGCATATATCGTGATATCGATGAACATGGAAATGTAGAAACATCGATTACCTCTCCATCAGAGCTAACAGTGCTATAAAATACCAAAAAATGAAACAAATCCACAAACTCACGACCTGAGCGCTGCATAACTCGTTACAAGTCATCGGCTTATGAAATATTTGCTCACCTCCAATACTTACCGTCGATTTGAAAATTTAAATGACTACTTACATATGTATGTACATCCAAACTATCGTTTAAAAAACAATGCATAGATTTCTGTAGAAATAAATATGACAAAAAAGTGTATACATATATTTAAAAGAATTAGATTAACAGCCATCAATTAATTTAGTGGCTATTTGCGTATATCAGGTCTTGCGCTTCCACAGCCTGCGGAGATTGGCAATGTACATAGATGTATATACATATATTAAATTAAAATAAATATAAAATTAGCTTTATACAAGTGCCCGGGATACGACGCTTGTCGGTTCCATAGTTAAGTAATAATTCCTAAGGTGCTCTCGCCTTTTTGTGCTTTGTTCCATTTATAATTTCTAGTAACGACGATATTCATTAGCATAGGTGCCAGCTGATATTTGAAGCCAACACTTATTATGGCAATAAATAATAAAAAGGTATTGCTAAATGTAATTTTGCAGTTGCCTTCCTCTTGTTTATAAATGGATATCGACAACATGTGACTTGATCACAGCAACAAAATTGTCGTGATTTTCCACGGTTGTAGTGACTTTCCGATGTCATCGATGGTTTTGTTATCGACTATGCGTGCGCAGGCGGCGCTATCGATAGCGTCGCCGATTGTTTTGCAGCCCCACCGTGCATTTCTTTCGAGTTGATTTAGCGTACGGTTGTTTGTGCATTTCGAAAAACGCTGAAACTAGTAAATATTCAAGACGCTGGTAGCCGATTTGTCTACACTGCTCAACATACAAAACGGCACGCGACAGTATATTTTGCATTGTATGTTGCACTCAAGTAAATTAATGTTTCAATTATTACACTGCCTTAGCCACTAAATTCGTTGTTTTTTTTTTTTCTTTTTGCGTATCTGTGAGAATGTGTGTGTCTGTGCAAAACCGAAACTGATGATGCTCAGTGGTTACAGTTATGTTTTTTTTTTTACTATTATTACTACTACATGTACTTGTGTGTTTATGTGCGCCTTTTTAGTTGCCAAGAGCAGCGCAATAAAATGTGTTAAATTTTCTCGAAGCTATTGCTGGGAGGCAATTAAAGCAAAGTTTGTTGAGAACGCGTCATCCGTCCAGGCGAAACCCCAAAAACAAAAAGGCCATAACGTTGCTCTAAATATGTGTGTGTTGTGTGTGTGTATGTGCGTGCGTGCTATTTAATCAATTGATTTCATTGCAAGCGCGCTCCGTTTCTTGCCATTTATATTTATATTTTATTATTTTTCTCTTGCACATATAAACAAGTTGCAAAAGCCGCCAAAAGGCGACTGCCGAAGAAAGTGCGGCCCCTGTGCCTGTGTGTGTGTATAGTATGTGTGCGTGTGTGTGTATGTGTGTCTATATTGTATGTGTAAAATAAAACTAAGTTACTGCTGAATAACGGGGCGCGCATAGCAAAAGTGAAATTTTTTCTCTTTTGTGTATTATTTAAATATAAAAGCAATTTTATTTGTTGCCTGTGTGTGTGATGGTGATGGCTCGTTTTATTTTATACTTCTTGCCATTCTTTGTGTGTTGTTGCGCTTTCAATGAACGAATTTGCATTGTTGTTGTTGTTGTTGCTGCGGGCAGCTCGGCGGCTACTGTTCTTGTGAGTGAAAACGAAATGCGCTGGCAACGCCTCTTGCGGCATTTCTTTTCAGTTGCCTTTTTCGCTTTATGCTGCTGCTGTTGTTGTTGTAGTTGTAGTTGCCATTCAAAAACCGCGTTTATCAACATTATCAGCGGAAATATTTGCTGCACTCCCCTCGACCCTATTACACCCGCACATGAGTGCGTGCAATTGCAGGTCGCCTGTCTGCCCACCAGGGAGAGCGGCACCCGCATATTGTTTGCTCTTTGAGTGCTGCCTGCGCATTGACTCATCCCCCCCTCTTCATTCTGTTTTCCTTTTTGTTTTTGCCTTGCCTAGCTGGCTGATAACTTCATTTAGTATCAATTTGTTTTTGTTTAATAGGCAATATGCCACGCCCACACACACACACACACACACACAGATAATTGCAATTCTCCCGCACCTACTAATATAAATAACAGCTCTTGTTGTGGGGAGAGCAAAAGAACGAGAGCTCTTAAACAGAGAGCAGAGCAGCAACTCAACTCTATCAGCTTTACGTGATCCATGCAGCACGTCTCTTCTGTGTTTTGGGGCCGCAGCTCCCGAACTGATAATAATGCATGCTAAAACGTGATTTAACGCCAAAACACTTGAAGATAGAATGCAATTTTGAAACCATTTGTTTGGCTTTAGATTGGCGATCTACACTGCAAGAAGAACTTTCAAAACAGTAAACGTTTACTAAGTTTATTTCGAACTAGTTTCATTTGCCAGCTCAGACTCCCTCGCAAATTTTTTAGTATTCCAATGACATCAATAAAATTTACAAATGTTCAATATGAATATAAGTTTCCCATTCTAGGAATTAATACTGCATATTTATAAAACCAATACTACAATATATCACAAAACACTACAGTGGACATCATGTTGCAAACGTTGCAACTAATTGCTTTTTTTCTCTGTGATTTTGTTTTCATACTTAAATCGCATTGAACGAAATCCGCTTCACAACCTTATTTCTCTGCCAATGCTTGACTAATCATCCTTATGTGTGTCCCAGAATGGCGCACATTTGAATTCGTCTCTTGGCTCGGCTGCCTTCCGTTCCAATCAACTTCGGAAACGGTGCCAGACCATTAGACGCCATTTAATGATTAGTCGCAGCTAAACTTCACCCAATTTCTCATTTTTTCTGCGCTAATTTCTTTTTGGAATATATGCCAATGGAGTTATGATGCTTTTTCCATTACCGTTCGACTCTTGGTAGCAAGCAGTATGGACGGACGACCTCCATTTCTTAATTTCTTTGCTTGCAGGCAGTGACAGTGGCGGATGGAGAGAGAGAGAGAGAGGGGCAGGAGAGTCGGGGAGTAAGCCAGACGCCGCCAAAACGTATTGAGTTCATCGATTTTTAATTTTCCGCTATGTTTACTTCATTTTGCATTGTCACCGGCTGCCACTTACAATTATTATTATTAGCTTATGAATCGAAATGGCTTTCTGCGATATTAACACGATTTACGATTCACGACTCAAGAAGCTCTTCTTTATAGCAGTAGAGGTAGATATTTAATTTTGATTCTATGCCAGGGTCCCATTTATTATTTTGTTGCTAACAAGTTTCCAACAGCAATTACCAATTTTGTATGTTTGTTTTGCATCTATTGTCTCTCGTTTTGCTTCGCTTCTCGACGTGAGAATGAATTCTAATGCTAATACATAATAATGATGGTGATGACACAATTTGGAAATTTTAGGAATTTCAGTCTCTCTCTCTCTCTGTGTCTCTGTGTGTGTGTGTGTGCTGCGCCTTCAGGCCAAGTTTAAAATGTTCAAATAGAACCCCAGATAAGCTGTTTAGCTTGCGATTCATCAGTTTTGAAACCTTCATTACTGTTTTGACATTGGATCTACAAATTGGTTTTGCTAGAAAAGTACAACATATTGTTCGCTGCTTAGTCATCCACAGAAAGCCAGATAAATTAATTGACTCATAACTAACACACATATTTTTATTTATATATGTGTGTATGTACTATATGTGTAATGAGTAAGAAAACCCCGAATTGCATTTTGGTAACTAATTCCGCCTTACTTGTTTATTTGTGTGTTTTTATTTTCAAGCCCAGAACAGATCTAGGCACGTATTAACACTTTTCGAATACTTTGATAATGACAAAAGTTATGTGCCCGTAGGTTAGGAGCGGGTGGAAATTTCCAAACCAATTGTTTGCATTTGATATGGAAACATGATTTGATAACAAAATGCTGTCAGAATTAGGATTCAATGGATATTAAGCCATTCCATTTAGAGATAGAGTAGCTAACATTTTAATTATTTACGTATAGATAGATCTTTATTTTACTTTGTTTTTTAAAACAACGCAATTATTCGTAATTAGGTTTTTAGGAAAAAATCATTCTCCAGCTACGGCTTTAGCATACAGCTGCTATAGAAATAATTAATAATAGAACGGCTTATATTTGGGAACCTAGACAGATGCCCTCTAGGGTGTACACATGTAAGACAAGAAGTTTAAAGTTATTTCTCATAATACTCACCAGTGTTGTCATAATCGGTGGTTTTAAAGTGACAGTTGGTACTAAAAGAAAAGTGGTTTTGAACATGAATTTATTCAGATTTTTCAAGACCTTACTTATTAAATAAAAGCAAAAGTAATTATTTTTCAGACATCATGATGAAATTTTACATGAGAAGTTAACAAAAATTGATCAAATTGAATATAGTTTTAATAAGGTAGAGATTATGTTTCAAATGTTGCTAAATGGCGTTATAATTAGAGAGATATTATCAGCCCAGTGTGCCTGGTGTTTCGGGCACTCAACTGAACATTTAAACGACTATCAAAAAAGCCCGAACCCTTCTGCCTTCAGAAGAAACCAGTTTTCAACCCTCGCCTCTCCAATGCAACTTGTTATGCATTTAATGTTGGTGACCCCGAACTCGCCACGGTCAGTGCATGGGCCCCTGGGTCGTCGGGTCTACGATTCAATGGTCGTCTAGGGTGGCGTTGCTTAGCGTCTTCAGAGGCAAACAACCACACCCCGGTACACATACTCGTACATACATCTATATTCATGCTGCTGCCACTTTTTCGCTTCGCGACGTTTCAATCTCTCTGAGGCACGACAATTTTCCGTTTGCGCTTCAAGCCAAATGAAGTTCAGGTTGTTAACTGTTTTTTGCGGCGCTTTTATTTTACTTATTTTTGTAAACTCTGGGGCCGCTGTTTTATTTTATTTTGTGTTTGCGCAGTCAATTGTGCAAAGGTAAAGCTAAAGAAAATTGTTAAATTGTTGTAAGTAACAAAAAGCGTGACTCAATGACTCATGCTCTCGAAATACTCGTAAGCGAGCGCGTTCCACAATTGTGGGTCGAACTGGGACGCATGCGCTGCCGCCACCACAGCACCGCACCGCTCCGCCCCGCACCACAGCACCACCAAATCAAACCATGCCAAGCTATCGTATTCTTTGTCGCTGCGCAGTCGCGTGTCAAGTGGCAGCGTTTCGTTGTGGGCCTTTCAATGTCAAGTGTATCCAAAAAAAAAAAACGAAGAAGAAAAAGAGTGACTGTATAAATATAGAGCTATGGCATTTATGGAATTTGTGAAGCCATTACAATGTGAACTATTATTGTTGGTTTGCATTATTCAAAGCACCTAGTAGTATCTCTACAATATAGATGGGGCAGTCTTGTTTCCAAAACAAGTTATAATATAATCTCCAATACTTCTTCCACAATTTAGCAAACAAATATTGTTTGAAGAAGCAATGGTTCTCAGTTCTCTTCTGCGCAAATCTGAGCTAAAATAGGTTCAGTATTTCTGCAATAAATCGATTGTTGCGGAGCTATTATGTTTAAAATAAAATGCAAATGAGTTCGCTATTCCAATGTATAATATAAATGATATACATGAGCATATTTATGGTCGTTCCTTTAATTGCCAACCCCTTAGAAATAATATATGTATGTCTGAGAACATGAAATCCATTAACGTTGGACAGAAGATGCTATAATTCCCCATTCTGCTTGATTTTAAAAGCTTTGCAAACCAGTTGGCATTTCTATGATTTACAGCTCATAGATATTGCAACCGATTGCCTATTAAGCTCAATGCACAATGAATTGCTTGGCTTTTGTTTACACACACACACCCATACACATATACATACAGTATTTACAT